GTCAAGAGACAGTTTCTTAAGTGAAGTTCTAAATACAGCAACCTTAAAAGACTAAACTTAAAAGATTAATCACACCTAAAAAGTGATTAATGTAACCATCAGTGTAGTTCACCTTAGAGCTTTCTTCTCTACTACCAATTTACAACACCTGTCATGTCTGGTCATTTCATAGATCTAGATCAATCAGATCATCCAGTTAGATTAAAGGTTTAATCTAGTTTATATCTAAGGAAAACCAGCAGATTGCATCCAGTCATTAACTTAAAAGGATTCTCCCCTCCTGGATAAGTAGGTAGAGAGAGGAGATATTGCTACTCTGCAGCAATCCCACACACCATCCATGCATGCAGCCACAATGCGAGGAAGGAGGAAACTTCCAACAGAACCAGGCTTAGTGAGCGGCCTTCTGAGTGGTTTAACAAACAGGAATTTAGGAAATTGATTTAAGCATGGGCTTAAAATATTTTAAACATCTATTTATCCAGTTTCTTTAAATATTTACAAATCAGAGGTCGACAGTTAACAGTCAGATCGAAGCAGGAAGAGGTTCTGTTGGCATAAGGTTTCTGTTTCAACGATTCAAACAGAGTTTAAAGATTTCCTTTGGTCAAACCTAGTAGCTGAAATCTCTCACTCTGCTAGAAATGTTTGGTCGTAGCGCAAATCAGCGCTAACATTTAGCATCACAGCAGGAAAAAACAGGCTCACCTTTGTTTTTCAGGCTCAGCAGACGCTGAAGGCGAGCAACGATGCAGCGCTGGCGAAGGTGGACGATCTGAAGGCTCAGCTAAAAGACGAGAGGATGAAGAATCTGGAGATGGACAGTAAACTGCAGATGGTCAACATCAACAAGATCATGGTGGAGCAGGTGAGAGGCTTTACACCCCCTGAGCTGTTATCATGGTTACAGGCACTGCGCGACCGTGCTCAGTCCTCTGGTTTACTGACACGGGCTGTCGAACAGTTACAGGAGCGGATCAGTGACCTGGAGCAGGAGAGGGAGCTGCTGAAGGAGAGCAACAAGGACCTACTGGAAAGGTGAGGAGGGGCACGGGGGAGCATCAGGACAGGTGAGGAGGGGCACAGGTGTGGATGAGGGGGAAAAGTGAGGAGGAACACTGGAGTGGAGGGGACAGGTGTGGAGGCAGATGGTGAGCAGGGTACCAGGTGAGGAGGAGGACAGGTGAGGAGGTGGGGTGGTTTCAAATCTGTAAAGTGAAGCTGTGGATCTTTGAACTGGTCCAGATTGCGTCAGTGCTTTATTTCAGCGTCTCTGTCGCGGCTGACCTCAGCTGTGTCTCACCGTCTCTGTCCGCAGCGCCTTTGATGTTTCCCAGCAGCAGAAGTGGCAGCTTCAGGAGCAGCAGCTGAAGCTGCAGATCGTTCAGCTGGAGACGGCGCAGAAGGCCGACCTCGCAGACAAAAACGAGGTCTTGGACAGGATCAAGACTGAGAGAGGTGTGTCCCCGTCTCGCTACGTCTCAGGATGTCTGTAAACGTTGTAGACCAGGGGTCAGGCTGAGGGCTCCTTC